AAAAAACTTAGGCCTGGGTTTAAACGGTTTAGATGGTTTAGAGATTTACCAAAAGATTGGGCAGCATTCTCCTTGCCAGCTGGCAGTAGGTACCAACTCCAACCCATTGGAGAGCGCACATGGAGAAAAGAGAAAGTTCGTTTTGGCGAAATTGGGCGTGCAATAATTTGTGGTCATGATTGTGGTCACTGTTAGTGGGCATGGGCTAGACACAATGTATTCATGTTTACGCTTCAATAGTTGTCATCTGTTTTTTCCGAACAAGCAAAGCCAAGCGATGCATGTTCAATCCAATAGATAGCCCATCCATCCCCATCCTTTTCTGAAAAACAAACAAATCAGTTTGGTAAACATGCCTGCCTGTCCACTAATTTGTCGTCAAAGCCAGAATTCTATTGCGTTTTAATGGTTCTGCGTATCTCAGCCAAATGTTGCGCAAACCATCCATTGCGCGTTGTCAAGACTCCCGCACATGTTTGTCTAGCCATGTCTGGCTATGTTTAGCCACACATAGTTCTACACGAAACCAAGTTATGATCCCCGAACAAAGAGCTAGATTTCCAACAGCTGAGTCACAAACTAGTTCGCCGCAAGGCTCTCGCGCAAGCGCGCGGTTTTTTCAAGCTATCCCAGTCTTGGACCTTGTTCATCTCCCCTGAACACCTCCCTGTGACCAACCAAACCGAACAAAAACGCCGGGCTGTTGGTTGATTCAGCTCTTCAACACGACGGATGATGAGCACTTTGCCATCCTCTAAGTCGGGGCCTCAGGATGATCACTTCGGTTCCGTGTCGGACGGGAACCGCCTTCGGTTCGGACCTGGGATTCATGGCGCACCATCCAAATAAGCCTGAATATGAGCCTGAATCCCCAACAACCATTGCTTTACTACAAGGAGTTTAGAAATGTTTAGAATACAAAACCAAGCATGTTATCAAACAATCTTGGAAGGGAGGAGGGAGGACACGTCTTCTTTGGTGTGCAGCCCTGGTCCGGTGTGATGGGACGCGCGTGGGTCACGACAGAAATACTTCCGGGCGATGGGCTTGGTCGATCGGGATTTCCGGAGTGACATGTTTGATCCTGATTGGTCGACCGAGAAAAAGGTAACATGTTGGAGGTACTAGCTGCTAGAATTCATTCCATCAGTTTGATCCTAGAATTGAGTTTAAACATGTTTAAACCCCAGATCGATCAGCCTAAGCCGACGACTCGACCAAAAAGATGCTTGAAAAGCACCCATGTACCGATGCCACAGATTCGATGGCCACAACGGCGAGAAAAAATCCGGGATCACATACCGATTCGTTCAACGTGCAACAGTGCCTGTGAAATCATGTTTCATCTCAAGAACCAGGCTTTTTTAAAGTGCCAAGATCTAGATCGTATGATCCCAAGAGCCCGTATGGTAGAACAAACGTCTCGAGTAAAAGCTCTTGCTGTAGGTGGCTTTTTGGAGTGCAAGAAACAAAGCAAGCTTTTTTCGAGTGCATCAAAACTCTCTAGCACGGTGAGATGGATTGCGCTGTCTTGGCACTTTTGCTGGCTCGCTTAAAAGACATGATGGTGAGCAATGTGTGAAAACATGTGAAAACCCACCCTCTATAGAAGACAAGGTTGCTCAATGAGAGTAGAGGTTCTCCATCAGAACGGTGTGTTCAACTCGACGGAGAGTTCCACGGAACTGATTCTAAACCGCCAAATGGCCCAGCAGCCTTCACAAAAAAAAAAGAAATCAGCAGCAGCCTTTGACAAACAAACACACCAGTGAGTCCAAGGAGATGCTGTCCATAACATCCAACTCAGCTCACAACCGTGCCACCAGTGAGTTGCTGAAGATATGATCCTGGAATGGAATCGACAGAAAGATGAGGATCCATGCATTTATTCAAAGAGACACCGGACCGAGACTCTACGTGTGACACTCTTCTTTGCGTCTTGGGATGTTCCCATGGTTCCTTTCCCTTTGGATTTCCACACCTGGTGCCTGGGCACAGAGCCCGGCGCCCAGCGATGCGCAGAGCACTCGCGTGCATCTGGTGACCTACTGCAACGAAGCGCAGAGCTCCATGGGTTTCCTGTTGGCCTCAGCGGCGGCTTGACCAGGACAGACGCATGTTGCGGGCAAAGGATTTTGGCCACAACAAAAGGGCAGAGCGGTTGAAGGGGTAGAGCAGTGAATCCTCCTACTCTAGGAGCATGTTTTGGTCCTGTGTACGCCCCAACTGCTGCAGACTATCATGTTGTTTGAGAACGTGTTCATATATGATTCAAAAACGATAGTGTACCTGTCACCTGTGAATACCTGGATCTTCCAACTATACGCAAAATGTCCACCTTTTGGATCCTTTTGGCTAGTTTAATGTGAAAAGGAATAAATGTTGCGCAGTTGGAAGATCCAGGTATATCCGTGTTCATGTATCCTGTACCTGGGTATATAAGACAAAAACATCCTACAACACTCGCTTCTTCAACCCACGACATCAAAACCAAGCCTTAAAAGTCTGGTTTTTCACCTCGATGCATCCAGCAGAGGTACCAGGCATGGAAGCAGGACCAGGTCCTTGTGGTCCCCCACACCTCATCTGAGGCGGCCAACGGCTTGCCCACGGTGGTGCTGGGCTTCGGAGACCATGCCTGGTGGCCCGAAGGCCTCGGGCGAAAGATCAACGCCCTGAGGCGCGGGACGCGCACACGCGTGCGGGAGGGGTAGTTGCGGTGGAGGTGGAGGCGGGTGGAACATGCGCGTCATCAAGTTGCAGAGTCAGGTGACGGCCGGGTGGTGAAAGCGGGCTTAGGAAGGGGTCGTTGGGTGTCCCGCTTTGGGAAAAGGTAGCGGATCCCTAGCAAAACATGGCAAAACTAAGAAGCCTATCCCAGACAGTCCATGGGACTGCCATATTTGCCTACATGGGACTGCCAAGGATGGATGCTTCTCCTCTTTTTCTGTCTTCTGCTACGGGCCTACTTCACTGCGGGGGGGTCTTTGATGGAATTTGCACTCACATCACATTCCCAGACACTCCATGTATGCCATATTTGCCTACATTGGGGTGGTTCCAGGGGTCAATGTAGGCATATATGCCGATCCCATGGGTCGTGTCTGGGTATGGGAGTAAAAAAGAGGTCCCCTGCCATACTGCACAGTTGTTAGTTGTTAGTTGCCTCAAGGAACGATCAGAGTCCTACCGATCTGTTCAACCATACCGGTCACGTTTTCCCGAACTGATTTTCGGGTGATGTGTTGTCCGTGGAGACACCACACTGTGGCCGAATTCGTGGTTCGTTTGCACGGTCGCAGACCAGCTTCGTCTTTGGAACTGGAATAAGTCCCCCTTCCTGGTCCCTTGAGCAAATCCAAGGGTAGGAAAGAACCAAACCCAGACACTCCATGGGACTGCCATATTTGCCGATCAGTTGGGGTGGTTGACCTGGGTCAATGGGGCGGCATATATGCCAATCCCATGGGTCGTGTCTGGGAAATGTGTGGGGCTGTGTGTGAGACAGCGACGTCGGGAACCCGCTTTCGGACGTTTTTTACCGTAGCACGCGGCGAATGAAGAAAGGATCGCTTTTTGTGACGACTTGCGGGGATCCTTGCGGATCAGAGGATTGGATTTCAGGATATTTGAGGATTCACAGATATTTGCTTTCATGAAGAAATCATAAAGAGGACTTGAGGATCCTAACAGGTTTGTGGAGTGAGTTCAGGATCCAACTTGGTGCCATACAACATCATTAGGGCTTATGAGTGCATATGGTTCATCTTAGGCCTTCCGATGGTTAGGGGGGGAGAAGGGCGACCCTGTGGAGGCGATTCGTGTTAGATTCTGCTCTGAAGCCCAATGACTTGGTTCTCTTTGCCGATGCCTATGATGTGCTGATACAGAGCACGGAGCAAGAGATTCGAGCTTCTCGGTTCGAACCAGACTTTTCGACACAATGTAAAATATATGACCCACAGGCTCATGGACCCTCAAACTGCTAACATGTTCTGTTTGAGGTCCAAAACCCTGGCTATGAGGGTCCAATGAGCCTTTGGGTAAAATATGTTCTTCATTTTTTTGATAGCCTAACAGGCGGTGCGCAAAACCGTTTTCTGGACGGTCCCATTCTTCTCTGCCTGAGCGAGTTGGGAATCTTCTTCCGCAGTCCACCCCAACAGAGTTGGCATCACGAAAGAATGTTTGTGCTCGGTTGGGGACTCCTCGCATTGATCTGCTTGATTTGGGTAGCACCATGACCCTGCCTTCACGTTGAAGCGTAGTCTGAGGAGATTGATTCAGTCATTGGATCGATTGTTCAGCCATGTTCAGCCATTCCCAGACCCTTGCCCCCTTTCACGTAGGCCTTTGGGATTTTGCTGTGGACGAGTCTTCTTGCCAACCCACACTTCAGAGGGCACTTGAATTGTAGGGGAGGGTCATGCTGCATGCTCAAGATGGGTTGTTGAAGTGCCGGTTGTTGAAGTGCCGTGCAATTTGATTCGCTACAGCAGATCGGCTTGACGGGCAAACATCTTCAGAAGCTTCAAATGTCAATTGATTTTGGGACCAAGCTCTTCATTCATCCGCAGTGATGGAGGTGTTTGTGGCTGTCCAAGGAATCCTTTGAACGACTGGAACGACGACTGAATGTGAGCCTGATCTTCAATGGAGATCGTGACTGTGCTCCCAGACTGCCAGATGTTTGCACTGATCCGCGACCTGTAGATGTCTGGCTTCATCCCAGAGTGTACTTGCAACTTGGCATGTGTTCCAGAAGGCTTGGTGTTTTGGGACGAACAAAAAGGCTTGGACCCCCCCCGAAAAAAGACGTAAACATGATGTTAATTGTATATCAAAGTTAAAACGATCACAGCAGAATATAGGCACGGACATATCTTTTTGGAGTCCGAACGTGTATAGAAATGCATCGAATTCATCTTCTTCCGCCGTTGCAACTCGGAACAGCAAATCATCTCTAGGAATTCTGGAGCATTCATTGGCAGGACCTTTGCCATGAAATCCATTTTGCTTCAGGATCCAGTTCCTTGGAAACAACTTGTCAGTGTGTTCCAAGACAGAACTCTGCAGAGCAGGATGCTTTTCACTTGATGTAAAAAGCAAGGACACATGTAATGAGTGGTCCCGTTTTAGCAAACCATGGCTGATTCATTGTAAAACGATAAAGAGTAAACAAAATACGATAACAAACATATTATATAGACATGCAATACAGTACATGAGAATAGAAGCATTGGATTTCAGGTGCAAGTGTTTAACAATAACAGTGTTTCATGTCCAGGTTTCCGTGTAATACAAGCATGTCAAAGTGAGGCAAGTTCAATTTAGTTGTGATTCAGGTGTCCTTTAGGCCTCCAAAATGGGTGAATACTTGGGGTTCCAAAACGATAACAAAAAAACGATAGCACAAATTCACGAAAACGTCCTCGGGAAGGCGACCATGTCCCACATGTACGCGCCACGACTGCTCACATACTGCTCACATAATAGTGCACGCACACATACAGAGACCGACTTGTTTGCAGTTGAGGCAGGGACATGTCCGGTTGGCTGGGAAACAAAAAAAAGACTGTATAAAGATTTCCAAACAGTGTAAAACGATAAAGAGTCTAAATATTTAACCCAAAGGCTCATTGGACCCTCATAGCCAGGGTTTTGACCCTCACAGCCAGGGTTTTGGACCTCAAACATGTTAGCAGTTGGTTCGGGTCTATGAGCCTCTGGGAAACAAGAAACAACAACTTATTTTATAGAGGACGAGAACATTTGTTGAGCCTCCGGGATCGCAGCAGATAAGATCCACATGCGCTCCACTCATATGACCCCATCACGGCTTTTTCTTCTCGGAACTAACTCATTCCCAAGCACGACCTGTCTGGGACGACGGACTCTTGGCCGTTCAATTCACCCCGGGTCAACCACCCTGATGTAGCACCCTCTTCCAGAGACCCACGGACCCTGAGTTCACCACGGACCCGGGTTGGTATGAAGGAGCCATCGTCTTCCGGTCCTAGCTCGGTTGTCTCGGAAAGCGGTGTCCAGACCTCAGAGACCCCAGGAACCGTTCAGACTCCACCGAACCTCGCCGAGGTGAGTGATGTCATGCCTGGAGGTGATCAAGCCTTTTATCAACGAAAGTTCATGTCTCACCCGCATGCGATGTCTGTGGATACTGATTGCCAGCTTCTATGCACGGTCGCCCGAAATTTGGACGCCGAAGGCTTAAGACTCCTGGAAGCAGAGGACGGACGCGACACAAAGGCGATGGGGTCTGTTCTTAAGAGAAGCAGGCCCAGACATGACCCATAAAAGTCATTGATCGGCAGTCCTATGCCAATCCCATGGAGTGTGGGAGTGAATTGCCTGGTCAATCACACTGGTCAATCACACTCGACATCATGGCTCCCCTAAGAATCCGGGCCCGAACCAATACATGTAGGGTTTGGAAACAGGGTCCGGACCCCTGCAAAGGTGTCGGGTCCGACCTCTGCCATGGAGGGATTAAGGTTTCTTCCATCAACCACTAGCATCACTAGCATTCTCAACTTTTAGGGGGATGAAGACTTGGAAGAACCAGGAGGACGACCAGGGGGTCTCTGCTGAAAACCCATGGACCATGGATAAAATATTATGATAACATATATATGATATATGTTCTACTGAAAACACATTGATAAAACTATAGTTTAACATGTTTGACCAGACAGAGGTGTTTTTTCTCAGACCACGTCCTCTGGATCATCAGGCCATTCACGTGGATCAAACCCTTTTGGTGACGAAGGGGGGCTTTGGGGAAGCCTGGAGACCACTGACGGCCTGGAAAAAGGCCACGCACGATCTTGATAGGTTTTGATGTGCCTGAATCTATGCACCAAACAACTTGATTTGCATGGACTATGCCTTGGCTAATGCATGGTTCACTGAGACCGTTGTGATGGGATCTTATTAATGCAGAAGGTATGGTTGTTTTACGGTCGGCTTAGCACATTGCTCATCTTTTCTAGATCTAGGGGTCCTTCCAAAACTGACCTAGAACATCCTAGAACCCAGTTGACATCATTTGACAATTTTTTGATAGGAAAAGAACGACCATATTTTGGGTGTTCTAGGCACTTCAGACTTGTTTATCTCAGGACAGCTGTCAAACGGGACGGTGGTCTTCTCCTCTGCTGCGACTAGCGTCAGCATCCCGAGCATTCTGCACTTTCCGGGGGGGTGGGCACTGGCCCATGTGGCAGCAAGGCTTGCCCAGCAGTGTGATCCAGGAAGTCTTTCGAAAGAGGTTTCCCGAACAGTTCAAGGCAGGGCGCAGCCCGCCGACGCGGCTCACACGAAAAACACGGCCCTAAAGGCGGATCATCGGCTTGCAACCACCATTGTTTTGATCATCGGCCTCGGAGCCAAACAACCATGTGTTGTGCTTTTAAAAGGCTACAAAACCATGTCAACCAGAAATCACACCAAAATGGAGCCGAGCTACTGAGCTGTGAGAGCCTTCCGAAAGGGCAACACGACGAAGTGGATGATGGCACATGATGGCACCCTCTGAACACCCGTGTTCGTAAAGGAAAGTAGTGGTGTAATCCAAACGTTGTTTTCTTTTTAAAGCAAACATCAGATATAGAGCTGGCTTTAAGTTCAATTGTTTGAATCAGTGAGTTGAGCGATGTTGGTGAGGTCCTCTACGACCACATAGAGGTCTCGGCTGATTTGCGAGGAGTACATCACTTCCGAAAGAGGCTTCAACAAGAGAGTTTCCTGCAAGTGCCTTGCGAATTGAGTGAACTGTGACCCCGTCTCGGCCGAGCGTCTAAGATGCGCATCCCTATTGCGACTCGAAGGTGCCCCTAGGTTTCAAAGAATCAACGGGCACCCTTCAGGGGATGTTGCCGGTAGTGTTTCGCTATGCTATAACCCCCCCCCAGGAGTCTAGGACCAAAATAAGTGTGTTTGTTGTTTTTGCCCTAGGAATGGTAGGAGTCGGACCTTCTCCCGCAGGGGTCTATGTATTGGTGAGGACCCGGATTCTTAGGGAGACAAGTGACTATAGACACCAGCACCACCCAAATTTAAAGGGTGGTTTATAGACCCCCCCTGACTATCTATGTTCCGTCTAATAACAACTCTTTGGTTGGTGCTGGCAGTTTTTGCATGTTTGCATGTTGTTTCTATCGTTTCAGTTACTCAGCCTCAAACGAGCAGCCCAGGCGCTGCGGGCCATCAGCTGCTTTCGTTGCAAAGTCCTGCTGCACACAGATGACGAGTGCAACTTTGTTCAGTGGGACAATGAAATGTGCCAGGAACTGCGTATGTGTGTCTTGGCACCAAATCCCTCAAACGCCAAAGTGTTCTTTTAGCAGACTATAGGAACGACGTACGCCCAGTTGGTGTGCTGACCACTTCCATAACAACGCCTGTCAACTCTGAATTAGTTGATGGGCTCGATGCCATACACGTCCCGTTTTGTCGTGCTGTTCACCGATCACAACTGTGATAAATGTGTTTCCAGCAAGGAAGAATGTTCACCTTAGACCATAGCTGGTTGCAACTCTCAATATATCCTATTCACATAGTTTTTTTTTTTTTTTTTTAAATCCTGACTCATAGATATAACCTGTTAAGATGCTACGTTAGCTAGGAAACAGCCGATCGCCTTGGCTTTTTAGGGTTTTGTTCCACCGTTCATCAAGAGCTTCTCGGTGCCGGCCTTCACCTCGCCCTTGTCCGAGCGGACCGGAGGCCTTCCTTGGCTAATCGTGGTCGTGGGATTGCTGCTTTGGATGCTGGGTTTGATTCCAATCCGACGTGGTATACCATGTATGGTATATATGCCGATCAATTGGGGTGGTGCCAGAGGGGTCAATAGGCATATATATACCATACATGGAGCATCTGGGAATCCGTCGAGCCAACGACGCTTCGTTGTCCCCTTTCTCAGTCCCCAGGTCGGCGAAGAGCTTCGGCACGGGCACAAGATGGCGCGGGACACGGATGGTCCTGTTTTTTTGCATATACTGTATTTATTTGGGTGATGGTTTTCCAGGTTCCAGCAAATCCAAGTTGTTGCAAGTGTCCCGTAAGGCCAACTTGGATGAGGTTCTTGTCTTTCGACCGAGGCGTGAAAGACCGTTTGGGAGACAGAAGAAACCCACCGAATAGGAATAGGAACAGGACATGTTAACATTGAGGCAGCCCCCCGTTTCTGGGCCCCACACTATGTCAAACGCCTTCACCAGCAATTGTCATCCAGTTCTATTAGAGAGTAGGAGGGTGGCATTGTTGGGGCAGGCAACGTCCAATGCCAAAACCATATATACCAGGACCTAATTGGAGGCTCTAAGTGACCTCACTAGGATCTCAAGGACGGTCTGGATCTCTGGTTCTGGTACCGTCCTGCAAGTGGAAAGTCTTCCTGCCTTCGTCATCAAATGGATCGGGATCTCCGGTCCCACTTAGGAAGCGAAGCTGGCGGCGGTGGTGTGGAAGATCCAAACCGTTGGATCGCAGTTCTTGAGGTGGAAAAAGAGGGAATGAGCAACAGCATTCAACAACCTCCAAGACTCCATATAGATCCATGGAAGGTAATTGGACCCTCCTGGTGCCTACATAAATTGTCTCCAATCACCTTCTCAGAAGGTATGTGGATCCACAGGGACTATCAGATGCACCAACGTTCAGTGACAATAGATTTTTTTGACGTACATAAGACGTATACGGTATACGTGACAATGAAGTGACATCTAGAGTATTTCAGCAGATCTTATTTAAATAGGTGGACATAAGTGACATAAGGCTCTCTGACTCCAGTCCACTTAGATGAGTGGGGACACTACTGGCAGGGAGTAGAATGAACAATCCCTTTGGTTGTTGATCATTATCACAGAGCGACACACACAATTGCGGCCTTGCACTGTGTTCCGGGCATGCCGTGTGTGTCCGGGCGCATTATGGACACCGAGCCAGAGATGAACACCGAGCGCACCGAGCAAATCCGAAGCCGGATGAGAACCCTCTCAAGACTGATGGACTCCCCAAAATGCATCAACCTGTTTGAGGTCAAGCTTCTGGAGGTGTCCGTGTGTGTGTGCGTGTGTTTTCAGGGCCATTTCAATATGCAATTTCTAGATATGTTGACAGGTCTTTAATGCAGTCTTGTGAAGTGCAAACCGTGACAACCACCGGACTGTGCTCTTGCGTACTTTCTTCTAAGTGTGTGGAGTTTTGCCATCAATCCATTTAACATCCAATGGTGAACTTCCTTCGCTGGCACCCATTTTCCCTGAGAAAGAACCGCCCAGGAATGAACATATCCCTTTTTTTGGAATCAAACAACCAAACGTCCCAATCCGTCTTCTAAACGTGGTTTCCCGCTGTGTTTCCCAATGACTTGTTTGATTGCAAGTCACCATTGTTTTTGTTTTGTAATTTTTCGCTGGGCATCACCCCCGCGTCAAGTCTTTGTTTCCGTTTCCGCTCTTCGTTCTGAGGTTCGCGGCCTGAGAGGCCCAGAAATCGTTCCGTAGCGTGAGTGGACACAATGTGGAACAGACAGCAGGTACCCCCTAAGAATCTAAAAGTGATTCTGAATGAAGTTCCACGCTCAGAGCATTCATTCGAGGTTACGAGACCTCACTTTTGAAGCAAACCAGCTGCAGTAGCCCGTGGCTGTGCACAGCAACTGGTAAACCAGTTGTTGGGGTGCTAGTGCTCGGGGAGGGCACTAGGCTGGGGTGTGCAGGTTGCGTGCAGCGCGACAGCCGTATGAAAGTCAAAAAAGATGGCGGAGCGCCTCATTCCCGCCGGTCAGCATTCAGATTACACCATGTTGCGCCCATTCTTCGCATACACTAGTAACAATACGCTACTAGTAGCTCCTGGCCTTACTACTAGGAACAAGAAGCTACTAGTAACAAAGGGCTACTAGGAGCAAGGACGCTACTAGTAGCTCCCGGCCGTACTGCTCGCAACAAGAAGCTACTAGTAGCAAGGACGATATTAGGTGGAGGCAAAAAAAAGTACATATATTATATTGTTGTGCTTTGAGGTTGAGTCGGCTCAGTAATAAAGATCATCAAAGATATGTACGACCGTCAGTGTGAACTCCAATCTTCAGGCCAGTTTCATCGTGGGACCTCTTGTTGATCAGTTGGGACCTCGATTGTTCACGCAGGTGAGTCGAAACGTGCCAGGCCCATGCCTGCCGTGATGGGCTGAGCCCGTTCAGAAGATGGGAATGCAGTCGGAGCTTCTGAACCGTCGTAACTTCTTCCGTCTTGGTGCTCGGCACGAAATCAGCCAAGCGCTGCAAGGCTTTCACTGGAACTTCATAAGAAGACGTTCGAAAGATACTGGATATACTTCATAAGATACTGGAGATGACGTTCGAAAGTCGTTTACAGTAGATGGAAAGATGTCATGACAGATACATTGTATAACATGCTTCTGTGATGTCATGAAGAAGATGAAGAAGACCGTTTGGAGCAGTTTTGGTTGCAAATGTGTATCCCCGTTCTGATGTGCTTCTACCCTACCCCTCTCATCGCTTGGTTTCAGGGTGGTATGCAGATGGCTTATCCACAAATGCAGGGTGATATGCTGGCCATGGACTCAGAGTGCCTGGCCATTTGGACTGACGACGGTGGTTTTCGACCGTGTCCAAAGACCCGGTTCCCTCCGGCGAACGAGAACGGGTCGGTGTCGATGTCGATGGTGACTTATTGACCAGTGATTGAAACCTTGTAGTATATAGTTCACGAACTAAAGTTATAAGGTCAATAACTTAAAATGTTAGAATAAGTATCGTTAAGTGCTCTAACTAAAAACCAGCCCATATATTAGTATGTGTTCATGTGGTCACTGCGACGTGTGAGGTATGGAACCACCTGGTTCACCGAACATCCTGGTTCTTGAGTTCGTGCCCAAACATCCTTTTTCGGGGGGTTGGAGGCTCACAGTCACGAGTTCGGTGGCTCGGGTGAACCAAGTTCGGTGAAGGGAAGTTCCTGGTCCTTCGGAGTTTCACGAAGCTCCAGCCCAAAAAGAGTGACCCCCCGGCAGGCTACAAGTGGCAACAACTGCTGAAAGATAGCAGGCGTTTGAGATAGCGGCTACTGTATCAATGTTAGAGTTACTTGAAATAAGTGGGTGCCGTTTCAATGAAGAGAACTGCCTTATAGATCCATTTAGGCGTTCCTGCCACACGGTACCTTCAAGTCAGAAGCACATTGGTTGAAACTCGGAGGTTGGCCAAATCTGGACCTTGGCCATTTCAATCACTGAAGGTGCTTCTCCACATTGGTCTGTAAGCTACCTCGCCAAAAAGCTCTGGATTCGGCTCCGACCATTTGTTCTCAGTGCCAAACCCTCCGATTGGTGCTTCGGGAAGGAGAAAGGACCAGAGTCCGCTCCAGCCACAGACTCCTTGGACGCAAGCATCGACTCGTCTGTGATGTTTTGTATCACAGCGGCTGCCGAAGCTGCTCCGATCAGTCTTGACGATGGCAGACGCACTCAGCCCCGATGACTTAGGCACAGCAGTCTCCGCAAGGCGACACACAGGCGGGCCGATCGTTCGGGCGGCGGCGCAGTGCCGGACCCCCCCAACGAGCGAAAGCAGCGGTGAAAAAGATCGGTTCCATTGTTGCGTCATATATGGGCAAGTGAGACCTTTCTATATAGGAACATGAGGGAAAGCGCCACAAAAACAGAG